GCTGAACAAACACTGACCTTTAAATTGCTGCTGAAAAACATTTTACAAAGCCACACGGCCTCCCAACAGTGTTTGTGAAGTACTCGAGGCAGGAGACAAGGGTTATCCTTCAACAGCAACACCGCTTTTAATCATGAAAACCCCGCTTTTAGACTACAGGCCTTACTTGCTCATTTCATTTGCTTTGCTGAGGCTGCTTATGCTTTCAAATGCCATGAGCTGAACTTAGAGAAGATTCCCATCAACTGATTATTGCTTTCCAGTTAAAATCCAATCAAGAACACATTGATGAACTGTAATTCCTGCACTCTAAGAAAGTGGCTGCTGACAAAACTCATCAGTAATTACAACCATATTCGGCTACAGAATGAGAAGACTTCACTCAGAGAAGCTGCGGTCCTGTGATACCTCACACTGCATTCACACAACTCCATCATTTCACTTAAACCAATTTTAGCTACGTTCATACGGAAAAAATGAAAGCAGGCTTTTGGCTAGTGGAAAGCAAGCCCCCTTTCTGCACACAGGCTGTTTTTGCAGTACTGTTGCTGCTACACAGAACGACTTCAAGCAATTGTACATAGTATTAACTCTGTGCTGCAAGCCCCAGCAGAAATGAAGCCCTATTATGGGACCAGTCCAGAGTTAATATCTTATTCCTACATGTCACAGTACACTCGCCTCAACCTGTATCAGTTCTGAGTTAATGTACAGAGAAGAAACCAATTGCTGCAGTAGTTGGGAAAACATCACATCAATTTTTTTTCTCTTTTACTCAAATCCCAAGCAGGTATTTTGTTAAAGTGCAAACTACTCGAAAATGATACCTAAACATCCCAAATCACATTCAGAAAAAAAGTCTGTTGAAAAACATCAGGTATATTTTTTTTAACTTTCGTATTTGACAGGAAAATCACCTCAGTTCATTTCAGGTTAATAAATAAAGTGAGCAGACATTCTTAACCACAGTTACTTACAAGCCATCTTCTTTCAGAGTGGCTGTTGAGGCTCGTTCAGTTCGCAGCCTTCCCCCTGCCTATGGCATTGCTGCATGGTCACCGGGGCTTCCTTTGGGCAACACTGAGCTGGGTCGTTCTGCCGAGCACAACTAACGCCTGGTTAACGCGGAGACTGCTGGAGCTACCCTCGCCACATTTATTAGGCCCCCATTCAGAAAAAAGTATTTACATGCATTTTTACCTTTAAGCATATACTTGAGTCCTAAATTTATGTTTAAGTGTTGTCCTAAGTAGCCTCTTACTGGTTTTTTTCCATCCATAGGAATAAAGACGTCCTGCACATCCACAACAAATACACGGGCAGTAACAAACTCCCCCAACCAGCGCGAGCTTGTCCAGTTCACGACAAAGGAAAACCTCTGGATGCTAAAAGAAAGAAGGAGCTTTCCTCCAGTGCAGCAAGACTCTGGGTTAAGGACAACATTAGAAATTAAGAATTTTGGGTCTTGAACTGAAAGACTTTTTATTTTTCAATGAATTAAGTAAAAAACCACCAGCAGCAGCAGCCACTGAAAGCAGTCTTGGCTCTAACTGAAGTGAAATTTGAATGTAAATGGTCCTCCTCCAGATCCAAAGGGGTTGAATCCTTGCCACGTGTTCCAGTTCCTGTGGAAAGGGTTGCCCCCACCCTGCTGACTCTCCGCATCCAGTGGGTCCTCTCCTGCGTCAAACTTCCGCCTCATCTCTGGAAGAAGCAAAAGCAAGGTGGAATCAGGACGGGTACGAATTTCAACAGGGACAGCAACGCTTTCACCAACTGCACCCCACAGGTAACCAGAACATTTTGTCCTTGATCAGTTTATTGCATCTGTTCTCTCTCAGCTGCACTCACATGGGATGGTCCAAGAACAGACCATGCTGCCAGTTCTTCGCAGCCAATAAATTCCAATATTGATCTTTCAGCAACAGCATGGAGGTCAGCATGTAGAGCCCTAAACTCTTCCTATCTTCTCCACGAACCACACTAGAGAGCTGTCTAGAGGACAGCACTTTGGAGGCAAAAAGCATCTTCTTCAGGTAGTTTCACCCAGTAGCGTCAACACTGAAAGCCTTTCCTGAGACCCAGGCAAGTCAAGGGGTACACCACTACTCTTATTTAAAAAAGAAAAGCCATTGCATAAGAGCAATCATTACCTGGGTCAGTGAGGACTTCTTTAGCAGCTGCTATATCAATGAATTTTTTCTCTGCTTTCTTCTTTTCTTCCTCGCTCTGGAAGTTATCAGGGTGCCACTGGGATGCCAGCTTCCTGTAAGCTTTTATGATTTCTTGCTTTCGAGCATTTCTGGATGGATAAAATTGTAGATAAACTTTTCTAATTGCTCATATGCCACAGTAGTGAATCTACAGGTTTGTCTTAAACACCGAGACAGTAATTAAGGGCATCAGGAAAAATATGACTTGGTTAACCTTCTGCAGGTGGCACTGAAGATTCTTTACACAAAAAACCCAGAGGAAGCAGGTCACAGCCTTAAACAAAAGTTACTCTTTCCTTCACCACCCATTTACTTCCTTTGGAAAGATGCTACTGCCAGCTACTATGCAGAATGCAATTCCCAGTCTGAAGAAATTACCATCAGGTGAGCAACAAAAAGCACAAGGAGTAGAGATCGAATTAGTTCATGATTGGAAGGATGACAAAACAGTTCAGCATTGGACACCTGTTTGGTCTCATTAGAAAGACAATTCATTAGTTTCTCAAGGTTAATGGCAGAATATTTAAGATATTTTTCAATAGGTCCTTTCAAACTCTTTAATCTCACACTACCTGCCACAATTTCATTTTTATGTTGCTTTCAGTAATTCTTTTCAGTCTTAATTTCTTCCCCAATTCATTCACCTGACTCTTGATTATCTATACTAGATATTTCTTGCCAAGGGATTTATTTCCTTCCTTCCCAATGTTGCCTTTTTCATTCTTCCTAAAGGAATTGTTAACAAATGCTACTTAAAAGCTGAACACTGCTCAACTGGTACAGCAAGAACGTGAAGGCAGCAAGATACGGGAACAAAAACTAACTCTCAGCACAACAAACTCAAGTGATCAGCCCTGGATGTACTGGTTTAATACCCAACTTTCACATCATCATCTCAGACATTAATACCTCACCTTTTTACTCCCAGGATTTTATAGTAATCCCTCTTCTGTGACTGCTTCAGCATCCTCTGGGCACGTTCCAGACCCTCCCGAATCTGCTGGTCGTTCTCACTATTGGCTTGAGCAGTCTCGTAGTCTTTAATAGCTTTTAGAAAGAAAGTGCATGGAGAAAGATTACACAGCTTTTTATATACACTTTGATTCAAAGAACTCAACCACTCACTAAAATGGATGTTTTGCTATTACCATAAACAGCAAAAAACTTTTATTTCAACTTGCCATGGGTTTGGTTTGGGTTTTTTCCCCCAAATTAGAAAGGCTTGTAGTAGAGGAGATTTACTTTCACATATAAATTAAGTCATTTTCTTTCTTTAGGTTCATCACACTTTTTGGAAAGGAAAAAGGAGGTTACTAGAGGCAGGTCAGAACCCTCTTGAGATGTTGCACCAGTCACATGGATGAGCATGACAAGCATCTAAAACCGGGACGAAACAGAAGCCAGGAAGCAAGTTTCAGCAGCCCGTATTTGAAGAGCACACAAAGAGCTCAATGTTCATCCCATACATTGCTGTTCAACTGAAGGATGCATTATACTGAGTCCTATGAATTAATATTCCTTCTTCTCCCACAGTCTGCACTCAATCAACACGACAGAAAGCCTCTTCCTCTCTAATGACAATTTGCTTCTTATGCCTCTGCATAATGTGCAGTTACATTTTAAGGAGTTTTCTCCAAAGGCATGCTCTCGTTTTTATCTCAAGAGTTGTGTTTCTCAGGAAAAGCAAGAGATGCTGTAACATATTCATGAGTTCTTAAGGAATTCCAGGTCTAATTTTTTGTCTGAAGTAAACTATATTGTTATATTAAGTGGTAACTGAATGCTTAAGAAACCAAGTTTAAATATTCTCTGATATCAAGATTTATCAAGGGAAGCGACTGTTGAAGTCTTTAATGAGACAGCTCTTCTTTCACTGTTCTAATCCTCAAAGTCTCATTTGCAGATCCAAGTCTCCCAGGTTTCTCAAGTTACACCAAGTACTTGCATCAGATTATTTCCAAGCAGATGCTATTTCTCAGCAGGTGTTACATTTGTTTTTCGCTGTTTCTGAGCAAGACAGCAGGAAGTGCTAATGAATTTGTATTACCCAGACATCTGATACCACTGCAATCTTGTTTTGGTTATTGAAAAAAGAAATTCCACAAAGTATTTCCAGGGCTCAAACAATTTCATATGCTATTACAAACAAAATTTCTGTTTATTTTCACATCACTGGACACTGTCATATGCTGCTTGAACAAAGCATTTTGACTTATGCTGATATTTTTAATAATTTGTCCAGTTATTAAAAAACCAAACTGGAATATACACTGTTGCGTTATGTCCAATACATGCTGTCAAAACTGATAAAAATAGTGAGAACGCAGGGATTTCATTATGCTGCTTCACCACTCCAATCATCTGAAGGACCAGCACATTTAATCTGCTTCCTGTGGTAAGGGAAGGTCCCATCACAACGTAAATGCAGATCGGATTGCTCAACGTCACTGAGCACCCACATCACCTACAGCATCAACCACTGCTGGAAACCAAGCTGCTCAAGGGACAAGTATTTGCAGTGACAGTACCAGCATCTCTTTTTTAATTGATTTCTTTATTTAAAGGCTGCAAGTATTAGCCATTCTTTGACAAAACTTGTGCTGTATACTTTAGACAGGTAAGACTCCTGTATTTATGAGGTGAGCCAGAAAAGGAGTCATTACACATCTGTCTCTGTAGACAAGCCCTGGATCCCACATGATTATAAAGTAATTAAAACCCTTTGATGGGCATCAGAACTCAGCTATACAGACTGAAGTGCATCTTGAACATTTAACAAGAATCACCTTCAAAGCTCTGAATTACATGTACTTACACGTTTCCTGTCTTTAAACAGGAAAATAGGTGCCTCCAGCTTCACATTTTCTTGAGGGGAGAATGAGAATCAGCTTGCCTCTTTAAATACAAGACTACAATTTGAATTTCTCCACTGTTCTCTATAGCAGAAACACATCGGTCATTACTTTATAGCAGTTAAAACCGAAGGGTAAGTGAAGACACCTTCAGGCAGACTAACGTTAATGGACTATAATACTGTTTATGGAGGCTCTGCTGGAAGGCACAGTGTTAACTACAACCACCTCACTGCTACCAAGGGCAGGAGGAAGGCAGGGGATACGCTAAACAGGGATCTGGGGAGCACAGGTCCACTCTGGCATAGCTGTCCACTCAGAACCAGGCTAGGCCAGGCCCAGCAGGCCCCAGCCTGGGAAATAAGCTCTCCCAGCTCCCAGGTGTACATCCTCTGTGTTTCCTTGTATCTCAGGGAGGATTTAATAGAAGACAACATAAGAAGGATTCGCATTGAGATTTGTCAATTTCAAGAAAAACAAACAGATCAATTCTGACCTCTAGTAAAAAGCAAAAGGTACATCTAAGATGACTTATGGCAGGCCTCTTTGGCCTGTTTCTCTCTACACCCTCCTCTAAGCTGAGGATTCACACACCTTGAGTGTTAAAAATAATCTTAAATTTTCTTTGGGTTCTCCTTTTGCTGATACTCCTTCCTCTATAATCAAAAACCCTTGACAAAGCCTTACTGGATGTAGATTTGTATTCCGAACCTTTAACTGTTTTTAGGGAAGTGGGCCTTCTTTATCCATTTGTAAAGCTACTTTTCCCAACACTGACTGAGCTTACTTCCACTGTACTGAGGTACAGAAAAAGATGAGGAAATGCCCAAAGGGGGCCTCACCACTGCAAAACCTTCCTGAACTTTCCTTTTAGGTTAACACTGCAGTTCTAAACAATCAGAAGATGGAAAAACATTACTCTGAGAAAAACAGAACGGATTTTTCCTCACACTGAGTTTTGGGTTTTTGAGCAATGTCTTTCTACAAAGGTCATCAGTTCCCCAAAATGCTGTTGTCTTCCACCCTTTTTCTTATAAGGAGGAAGAAGGCATGCCAGTCTCACCAAAGAGGAATTAGGACTAAGTCACTGCAGAGATACAAAGTCTACGGTGCTGATGAAGAGGGCTACCTGACACCACCACAGTCCTCTTTACTGTATTTTCATTTGAGTTAAGGAGGCCTATAAAAAGAACAAAATAGGTAACTCACTTCTGAAGTGAGCAATCTCATCGCTCAGTGATTAATTTCTCAAATAGACAAAAAAAAATCTGAGCATGCTATTAATGAGAGCAGCTGCCTCATGAATGTTTAAATCAGAAAGATTTTTTTTGTTCAGTTGTAAAGCGAAAGATCCAGTGCCAGAAAACAGAAAATCGTTCTATTAGTACTAAATTAATGGAGAAGGTTTTCTGCAGATTTAAAACCTACAACTCCTTTCCCTCATCACATTTGACTGAAACAGCCCAATGCTTCAAAAACTGCTGCATGACCGAGCACAGGGAGGAACAAACAGATTGTCCACGTTTCCCTCTTAAGCCTGGTTTCCAGTAGAAATGAGATTCACTAAATTAAATTCTGAAGCATTTTTTGTAGTGCATTAGCACTTAAAAGCTAGGTAACAACGCAGTGGTGTACTCCGAGACACTCATTATTCAGTCCCTACTTTCCAAGGCTGCACATGGGACCACGTAACAGTCTGCATTTTATGGAAATCCCGTATGGAAAATGCAGTCTCAGGAGTAGAAGCAGTTTACTGCTCTTAGCAGCATTAGAAACCCATGGAGGTAAAGCAATGGCTGTCATCTTCCTCATCTCGACATACGCTAGGGGAAAGAACAGGATTGTTTCATGCTGCCATCTAAAGACATTAAAATGAGTTCCTAAAATGGATTTATATTGCCTTAACTATAATTACCTTTTATCTCTAAATGCAATTGTCTGACATTGCTGATTATACAAAACATCTTTAAGTCGAATAAGCTGTACAGTCTCATAAAACATCCAGAACATAGCCCAGTGTTGTAAAGACAACTCTGCTGTAGATAAAACAAGTACCTTCCACTTATACTAATCAAGATAAAATTACCAGCAGGTATTTTTTGTAAATCTGCAACTACCAGTGCTGATTAGGGATAACAACATAGCGTAGAGTTAAAGTGCATCTTAAAAATTTTTGAAACACCGACTGCATTTTCAACACCCACAAAAACGTATGTGCAAACTGCACACAGCTGTACCTTCTTCATACAGGTCTTCCAGCAAATACGCTTCTGCTCTGTCTTTCAGGGCATTCACGTTGGTTGGTTCCAGCTGCAGAACTTCTGTACAGACTTTTATGGCTTCTGTGGTCTGCTGATTCTAGAGAGGAGAAAGCAAAACAAAACCCATGTAGTTGTGGGTTGGGGTTTTTTGGGGGGTGGTGGCATTTGTTTTAAAGAAATTTGCAGAGGGAGACAGAAGCAGAATTACCTTTGATAAACAGTGGCAGATCCTTTCTTTGGCACGAGTAGCATAAACTGGGACATCTGGCTCAGTTTTCATTACAGAATCATACTTATTGATAGCATCTTCATACCTGTTCAAATCAAAGATAAACATAATATAATGAAATGTACTAACTGTTTCATAGCATTGCAGTTTATTTACAAACTTTAGAATTTTAAAATTCACAGACTTACTGATACTTCTAGTAACGTATCTTAACTTTAATAGTTTTAAAGGTGTGGTGTCGGACAACAGTATGAAGAAAACTTTCAGCCACCTCAAGAATTACATCCCCATGCCGTTTTCTGTGCTATGAGACAAGAGCAGGCACTGTACCTGGCAGGCTTTTTCCCCTCAAGCGTGCACAGACAAGTCTCTAGATTTGCCTCCTGTCCAACACACTACTCTGCACTTGTTAAAAAACGCATCTCCCTCTCTGATGTTCGAAATGGACTAAGTCTGGAGCCTTGCTGTGAGCACTGTACTTGCACTGTATTTGCATTTCTTGGAAAAAAAGAAATCTTACGCCAGCTTGAATCAGGCAGTTGTTTTCTCCCTTCCTTCTTCTCCACAAGTCACACAGTAAAATGTATTTTTGCTGTAAAGGTTTCAAAGATGTTAAAGTTCCATGGTTTGAGTGAGGAATTGATTAGAACATGCACCTAAAAATGCAACCATGCAATTGAACCCAAGAGTTGCTATCAGCTAGGAGAAATTCAAGCTCTTAGAAGACTTCCTGAAGGTGTGCTGACACTGGATTAAATAGAAGACTAAGTGAAAAGTCCAAATGGACTACTGACTTGATAAAACTGTCTTCAGTTGTGCCGATTCACATTCCTGGCGTACTTCACTTCAAAAAGCCACCATGAAAACATTTAATCACTTGTTAGGGGTCCTTACAGCTGGATGTTGTGTGCTTGGAAACATAAAACAAGAACTGGAAGAATACAGAAGTACTGTCTATCATTTAACAGGGCACATAAAAGAGGCCCATCAGTCAGATCCAGTTTTGCTATCAAGGCACTGCAGAGTTATTGGGTGGTTTTAGTCTAAAGATGTGATCCTTTAATCACAGAACAGCTGAGGTTGGAAGGGACTTCTGGAGGTTCATTTGGTCCAACCCTCCTGCTCAAGCAGGGCCACCTAGAGCAGGTTAGTCAGGATTGTGTTGACTGATTCTGGGTATCTCCAAAGTGGGGAGACTCCAGAACCTCCTCAGGCAACCTGCACCAGTGGAAATGAGGAGGTGGTGGGAAGAATTTCCTTATATTTAAATGGAATTTTCTGTTTCAATTAGCACCCATTGCCTCTGGTCCTGTCTCTGGGCACCACTGAAAGGAGCCTGGCTCTGCCCTCTTTGCATCCTCCTTCTAGGTATTTATCTACATTGATGAGATGACTCTGTAGTAGAGAAGGCTCAGGGGGAACAGTCCCAGCTATCTCAGCCTTTCCTCTCAGGAGAAAGATGCTCCAGGATACAGTTGGCTTTCTGGGCTGCAAGTGCACATTGCCAGCTCATGACAGTGTACAAGAGCCTGCAAATATTATCCCTATCTTGGTCTTACTGCCTGCTCCACAAAGTAGTTAAGTATGCAAAGAGAAGACAGTGGCATCACAAGGAATCAGAATAGGATTGTCACTATGTGAGTCAATATTTATTTTAATTGTAATTTGAGAGCTGTACTCAGTTATCCACTTCAACTGACAGATGCAAAAAGCACCACTTAATCAACTCCTCAATCAATAATAAGTTGGTGCCTCAGTAATGATTTTTTTCTTTAATACAGCAGTGAACACTTACCTGCCTTCTCTGATGAATTCCTCTGCTGACTCGATCTGCTTATTGAGTTTCTTTACTTGCTTATAGAGAGAGAAGCATCGCTTATGGTCTTGGTCCAGTTTCAGACATTCCCGGACTTCACTTTTCACAGGGAGGAAGGGAAAAAAAACAAAACAACAAAACAAACCAAAGCAAAGACATCAGCACACACTAACATTTCACCTGGAGACACAATGCAGATATCTATAAGCTATCCAAAACAACAGCTGACTTTTTAACATCTCTTCCTTCACTCAAAAATGGATTTAAAGTGAGACCAAGAAGTCTTCCAGAACCTACAGGGATATTTGCCTGGTTTTGTTTTTAATTATTTTGTATTGCCAAATATGCAAGGACTGAGAAGTGTTCCATTAATAACTGACTTAGCAGCAGCATGAAAAAATACCCTGGGAAAGAAGTTATATTCAAATGCAGTTGTTTGTGATTTTCCTATATATTTAACTCAGTGATACTACAAAATAGGTAATATGTAGAAGTGTATTCTATGCTGTCTGAACAGACAAAGCTCAGCTAAAATCCAAACCTCCTCTTAATGGAATGGAAGCCAAGCCTAAGCCTGACTTCTCACTGTGAAGACTGTTTAATCAGACCAATTAAGGCAGATACCTCTCAAAATAGCCACAAGTCTTAAAAAAAATAAAACCTCCAGAATGCAATCATATGAAAGAACAAAAGTTTTGTATCATAGAGAGTCATCACAGCACAACCAAGGTGTTATTTTCAGAAAAAGGTCACAAAATTTTATTTTGCTCCTCAGCACAGATAAAAAGGTATCTATTACTTGAAAATTATTAAGCCTGTAAAGGTAAGAGGAAAAAACTAAGGGAAGAACATTAATCACCCAGTAAATCCAAAAGCTATAGAACTCAGTAGATCTTATGAGGCAAAAGAGAAATAAAAGCAGAATCACAGAATAAAGAAGAGAAGCTTATCCCTTCGTTGTGATACCACTCTGTTCTGTTCTTCAACAGCTCTCTCAATTACACTTATAAAAATGATTTAGTTATTAACAAAGGAAGTCCGTGTGTGGATTTCAGAGAAAAAAAAAAATACCAGCTATTCTTGAAATCATCAAGGTAAATGATCATCAGCTACCAAAAGTCACCACAGAAGTGACCTATGAGCTCCAAAGATTAAGTATACACTGGAAAGGGGATCAGTAATGCAAACTAATTAGTTACTTAGTATTTACTTTTGCCCAGCTACAAATGAATTTTTGCTATTATAATCAAATGCAGTTTCCATCCATTAGCCTTTGCCACACACTGCCAAGAAAAGAAACTCAGGCTTTTTCACTTCCCTTCACCTCTTACTGAAGAGATTCTGTGGCAGAAACCACATTGGAAGGAGCCTGAAGATGCAGGCAGCACATCTGAGATAAGCTGCACAGGAACCACTTGTGTGCAAAAAGGAGGACTGTATCATCTGCCCAGCTGAGTGTGAAGTTAACAGTCCAGATTGGGCAAGGGCAGTTATCCGCAGGGCTGACAGGGATATACAGGAATAACACCTTAAACTTAACTGAATATTAATAAAAGGGTAGGGCATTATGAAAAAAGATCATTCAAAATACTGGACACTGTCTGCAAGGATGAAAGATTGACAGCTCTGGATCCCCAGCTCCTCATACTTGGATGGTTCCTGTACTTTGTATTTATTCTTAAGCTTGTAACCTTTTGTTTCTACTCTTGAAAATAAAAATCTAAGACTTAATTCATAAAATTTTTGTTGGCATTGTAAACTTAACTCAAATGGAGGCTCAAGGTTAAGAAAAGCCAAAGCAAGTTTAGAGAAGCACTTTCTTCTAGTAAGGAGAAATACAGTAAAGACAGTAAATGTAAGCAACTCTGACAGACCTGCACTATGGCTTCTGTTTCAGTAAATAAGAAACCATCGATGGCTGCTCTGCCAAGAACAGCCATGGTGTCTTCACTGCTGGTTCTTAGCTTCTGGAAAGGAGCTCCCTTTATCAGAACCATACCAGGGTTGCTACTCCATCCAAAAACCAGGCAACACAGATACTTCATGGTTTATCACAACCTGTTATCGTCTCATCTTCTGCCTCAATTATAATGATTACAGCAAAGAATAAAGTTACCTGAGTGATAATTCATGGTCCCCCAGCTGATAATATATTCTGCTGATTTTATAGAAGGCTTCAGTGTTATCATTCTTTAATTTGGCAGCAGCTTTCAAGTCACTAATGGCTTTGCTTGGTTCCCCTTCCTTTATATAACACTCGGCTCGAAGTTCCCGTAGCTCTGCATCCCAAACACAAACCTTAAGAAACCAAAATTAAAGCTTGTTTTTGGTCCATAATACTTCACTTTTTCTCCCCAACAAAAGAGAAATCCCATTTAATTTCACTTTGCCAACTGCAACAGCATAAGGTTCAAGCTGCATGCAGAGCACATGAAATTAGCATCTCCGCTTCCTGGTGGATGCTGTGATGCACCTGCCCAAATAGAAAACAAGGGCCTGAAAACTTTGTAAATGATTCTATCAGCTCATGCAGGGAGACGAATTAAATCTACTAGCACTGCTTAAATTTGGACAGTCTGTTGAGCCTCCAGGGAAGGATATCAGAATCATAAATTACTATATCTTCCCAAAAGAATAGGGTAATGAACAGCAAGGACCAAGCTGTCAGTTGTCCCCTAGAAAAAAAGGCTGTGGGTAAGATTTGACCTTAGTATCTGGATTTTAAAGATACACATAGAAGTAACAATGTCACAGCATGGCAAAAATAATTCCTTAAAAGGAACTGCCTATCATAATTTTGTAGGATTTATTTTGTGTCTTATCATTTGTTTGTAAATCAGTATTTTTGAAGATGAGGCTTTTCTGTTTTCTGTCCTCCCTCCCTACAAACTCCTACACTCTGGCAGTTTCCTCTAAAAAGTAAATTCCAAGTCAATGTTAATTTGCATGTGAAAAGTCACAGTAGTTAACTGTCTTGTAATACATATTTCTGTATGATTCACAAAATGGTCATGATTGAGTTATTTACACTTACTCTATCAGACTACCTGTACCGATTAAAATCCAACAAATTCAGGTATCTAATGAACACGCTGAAAACCTAGATAGCAATTTTAACGGTGATTTTTTTTGATCTTTTGTTACTTCATTTTCTCAACAAAAGAAAGTACCTACTTTGTAGTGAAGAACGACCATTTATCAAGTTTTATATTAGGCAACAAAACATTTAGATGAAAAAACCCTATACTTCCTATACTTGACAAAACTTCCTTGGTTGAGAACAACATTTTTCTCAGCTTTCCCAAGAACACTGAACTATAGAAAAATGGAAAATATGATCAAGTAAGTTATCTGCAACAGACGTTTGGCTGAAGTTATATCTTTAACACCCTAACTACAATCTATTATTTTAACTTTTTTTGTGGCTAGTGCTCAGCATTCTTCTCTCCAACTGCATCATGGACTCATGGTGCTCAGCTTAACTAAGCCAATTACACCAAGTGTTTTCAAACCAGTGAAGAAGTCATTAAACAAAAATACACAGATCTCAGACAGGAGCTCTTATTTTCCTTTCACAGTACCATTTTACTTCGCACTTACTGCCAAGATTTCATCAAGAAGAGAAATAGCGGTTTCGTAATCCTCTTGCTGGTAGGCAGATAATGCTTGTGAATGCAGGCGCTGTAGCTCATCAGATTTTGTCAGCTGAGTCTGGGCTTCTTTTTCCTCATTACTGCTAGGATTGGATTTGAGCTGCAAATGTTAAAAAGGAGAGAGACTGAAATGCTTGTTCAAGAATCTCTTTTTGTCTCATTAATAATCATATCATGGAGAACTGACTAAAGCTGCAAATAAAGCAAAATTATTTTCAAAATTCCACTGGAAGTGTTTCCAAATCCAAACTTCAGAAAAACAAAGACATTTTTAGAATCATAGATCATTTAGGTTGGAAAAAACCCTTAAGATCATCAAGTCCAACCATTAACCTAATATGCCAAGTCCACCACTAAGCCATCTCTCTACACATCACATCTATGCGTCTTTTCAATACGTCCAGGGATGGGGACTCCACCACTACCCTGGGCAGCCTGTTCCAGTGCTTGATACCCCCTCCAGTGAAGAAATTGTTCCTAATACCCAATCTACCCTCTGCCCAGTGCAACTTGGGGCCATTTCCTCTCATCTTGTCACTTGTTACTTGGGAGAAGAGACCCATACCCACCTCACTACAACCTCTTAGGTTGTAGAGAGTGATAAAGTCTCCCCTCAGGCTCCCTTTCTTCAGGCTGAACAACCCAGTTCCCTCAGCTGCTCCTCACATGATTTGTGCTCTAAACCCTTCACACCCTGTCCCCCTCATCATTTACCACTGGACACATCATACACAACAGTCATTGTTGTCCTGTCACCCCCCAGAAGTCATGGACTTTCAACTGCAGCCTAGTTAATCCACCTCTCTGCAGACAGCTATTAAATACTGGATTCCTCAGCATCACTACAAAGTACATCCACGTGGCATAATCACATCTCACTTTAAGCACAACACTCATTTATAAATTCTTTATAGAAAGAAATGCAACATACTACAGAAGGTATTACCATAACGCTGTGTTTCTTACTGTTTCTTCAGAAAAAGCTACAGTATCAAGTTAAGATGCTATAAGTCTTAAGGCTGGTCTACAAAGACTGTAATTTCTCATTCTTCTCCCTCTGAGCAAACAGAAGGGGTTACATTGTAGTTGCCTTCATTTGTTCAGGCAGCTTTGTATTTTCAAAGAAAAAAATAAACATACAAATCTCACTGACAACTCTTCTGGCCCATTTTTGTCTTCTTCAGTGGCAGCATTTTGGTCATTCCCTTGCAAAACTAAGAAGTCATTTGTAAAATTAATGTAGTTTGAATAAGGTACTGGATTCACACTTGTTGCTGATCAGAATGACTTCCAAAGTTTTAAAAAGGACAGACCAGCAGGAATTGAATTTTTTTAAATTTTGTTTGTTTTAAAACCCAAACTTGCATTACCTTGCATTTTATACACAGAACACTGACTGAAGTTACCAAGTCCTCAAAGTCATCCAGTACTTTTCCCTTCCTCCTTTATCTCAAAGTGGCCCCTTCCCTTTTTCTCATCAGTAAGTTCTTCAAACACTTATATTTTCTGCTTAAGTGTCTAATGTAATTCAACAACATCAGCTCTCAGAACTCCTTTAACATTTCCCCTGGTTCTACCACTTAGGTATATGAAAGGAAAAAGCCTAAATGCAACATCAAAAGCATGCAGGTCCCAACCTCTGTCTTAGATGCTTCATTTGAAGTATTTTTGAACCTTATGCAGTTGTTTCATTTTACTCTGGCAAAAATCAAGTTGTACTTGGACCTGAAAATTCTCCTTTATCCCCTACGTTGTTTTTCAGCAAGAGGAGGGGAATGCAATCAGAGCTTTCCTCTTTGTAGGCTGACTCCTGACGCATGCCTCAAAAAGCTTTTCTTCTGGTTCAAACAGAAGCTCTGCCTATAAACCCCTGATGCTGTGCACCCTTTTCTTCCCCCAAATCTGGAGCTTGTAGTAGAGGCAAATTTCTGCCTCTGTAATTTTAAAAGCTCTGAAGTTCTGAACTCTTCAGTTCCAGCTAACTTGCTTAATTTTCTCCCTCAATTTCTGAGCATTTTCCTTTCAAAAATTAAGAGCTTTTGCTGTGGATGAACTTTATGCTTCTACAAAGCATACTTTCTACTTTATGCTCACACAAAGTGACAGTGGACTATAAAAAGCAATGTTACAATCATACAGACAAGTCTAATAGTAATGAAGACCATTCGAGTGAAACATCCTAGATAATTTTAGATAGTACAAACTGTACAGTTAACAAAGAAAGGCAAACTTTTCAAGCTACCATTCAAACTAAAGCCATCAAGTGTGTGTATGCTACAGTGAGGAAAACATACACTCAAAGTTTGCTAGATTTCCAAGTAAGAAGCAACTTACTAAAAAAACCTTCAGCTGAATTTAATACAGATCTAAGGCAAACCTAACAATCCTCTATATGCTTCATCAATGGCATCAACACAGTGTCAGAAGCTATGCTCTGCTCAGTTCTAAGCACGCTGCTACTGGTGAAGGTATTCTCAGCATGGGTTCCTTCGCTGTCTTTGATGTTTACTACATTTGGATCAGAACAGTAAATTAGTTGCACTTTAAGTTGCAGCACCAAGAGCTAGCCATCTGTTAGAGCAGCTTTCATTCACTACCATATAACTACAACTAATTCCTTTAAAGAACACAAAGGCCAGTACACAGGAACAGCTTTGTTACTTTGAGTAACTCTCTATCACAGATTTACTGCTATAGATGCTGTTTTATTCTCAGTATAGGAGAGAAACACCCTGGGGTAAGCAAAACCCCACTTCACCCTCCCAAGCGTGCAAGATTAAAGGGAACAAAATCATCACCTCCACTCAAGTTATCAAGTACAGCTTTCAAAGTATTTGCATGGGTATTAGCCTCTCCCCATTACTCTCAGGGAGGAAGCTGGCTTCTTCCAAAGCTTTATCTCAAGGACTACGCTCAAAACTTTGTAAACTTGCTACACCCAGGGCAGTAGGAAAAGGCATTAGTAGCTTCATTAAACTCAGGATTTTTTTTGGCGTCAGAAAAGCACTTAGATAATTTCTATTCAAAGGAGAAATTGCACTTGCAGTCAAACACCAAGTATTTAAAAGTTTTCTGATGCGAAAAGCAATTTAACAAGCTAAACAATTAATGCTGGTTTTCAAGAAGCAACATAAACCCCCTTCAAACCTGCTACATTTCATGGTATTTCAAAAGTCTGTCAGCATGAGCTTTCTAACCATACACAGACATTACACCAGTCACACACAAAGCCACATGAAAAACACAATGCAGCACTGCCTCAGAAAAATGCTGTTAATAAAAAGCCATCGATATGGCCAAACTGGTATATCAGCAGTTGCAAAACACTGAAGAGAGACCAAACTACACAGGATCCATTTGCATCTTGTATGTTGGATGATGCTGAAAATGTCCTGTGCCAGTCTGAGTTATTTAATATTTCAGTGTGTTGCACCTACATGTACCTCATAATTATGCTTTCTGGGTCAGCAATATGCTTTTTATTTAACAAAGCTCTGAAACATCTATTTACAACATGCTGGAAACACAATCCCCAAAGTAAGGGTTTTTTGCTACATGCTTTTGGTTTTTTTGGGTTTTTGTTTTCCAGAAGCATGGGGAAGAGTTACAAGGCTTGGCTGAGTTAATTCAATTGTTTACTACAACCTGTCCTGCTTTCCAGCTACGCAGTCCTTTGCAATGGCCCCTTAAAAATACAGGAAAAGGTTGGACATTTAGAACAGAAATCCTAATGAAGGAGAGTTACAGCCACCTTGAGGAAAAAAACCCCAACTAAAAAATCCATACTCTTAAAGAGTATAGATTAAAAGATACATAGGCAATTCTTCTGTAGCATTTGAATATCTCAGTACGTATTATAAACGGACACTATCAACTTGAAAAACTCTTACATACTGTTTAAAAACAAAAACATTGTTAAAAAAACGAAGCGGCACAGACAGTTTCTATACCTTGCTTACAGTGGTCCAGAACCACAGGCATACACCTATGCATTCTAAAGCTGTTTTCTTGTTTTTCACACTGATAAATACACAGACAGTGAAAAGAAAGAGTAAAAAAAACCCTACAGAACAAACAAACATTGAGGGGAACTGCAGGAATCTCCATGGTTTGGAGGTTTCCAAAGATCAAGATACACATGCACTCAAGAACAGTGCACAAAGGAAAGCTCTGCATCGGCACAGCAACATATCAGGTAACAAAACTATGATGTTAGACAAATGGAAAAAAGCATGGAAATATTTAAATATCTTTTTATTTACATTCCTCTGTGGTACTGTGATCATCTGTATATGGAAACAATCTAATGTTATTCTGGTCTGGCTAAGAGAACTCCAAATACCCAACTCAAACTTGCCTAGTGACTTACTCAAACCAGGTAAACTTACAGTGCCATAAGATGGTTGCCTACATCCAAAACAGTATTATTATTCCACACACCAACCAACCACAGAAAACGACTGTCCAGTGTGTTTTGCAACAACCAAGGGTTTCTCTAGGTTAGAACACAATTTGCAGATGTAGAGTGCTCAGTCACTTGGTCTTGGCTGACATCTAGTGGGGCTGGGAGCAGCACCTCCAGTTTCCAGCTTTTAAGTATTTAAGCTTCCAAGGGAGACAGAATTACACATTTGGGAAATCTCAGTTTACAGTATTTACTGCAACAAAGTGCAGCTGGGAACATCACAGTCAGTCTAAAAAAAAGAAAATAATTTAAAAGAAACATTACAACATGGTACTTTCCAACAGACTAGGCGGAAGTTCTGCTCTATTCTTTGTGCCTTCTACAGAATTTAGCAACTCAAACACTGTCATTTTCTCTAGGTCACAAGCAGGGCCATGGACAACATCACAAGGCATACACAAAGGGCTGCCAGGACTTGCATTACTTTTGTCACCTTTTCAGAGGCTTTCCATCAACCAAAGTATATCAATATTCATTTTATTCTCACTAAAAATCATATGCTTAAAGATAAATATTCCAGGGTTTTTTCACTGATTGAGGCCTTAGACACAAACACTGATGTGCTCACAGATGCCCGCCCTGTTGACTTCTGTAATTCAGAAACAAGTAGGGGGAAAAAAAATGCGGCATTCTAAAAATAAGCCATGAAAGCTGGGGTCCCAAGAGACTGCTCCTGAAAGGGCTACTCCCACCCTTTGCAGTCAGGCATTCCCACTGCCTGCCCTCACACTGGCACTGCCTCACAAGACAGCCTGTACCAATATGCCACAGGGGGAAGAAACATCCAAACAGGGAAACTGCTCTGCTTGGCTTTCAAATAACTTTAAAGACTAAGGTGCTCATGAAACTTTTCCCACAAACTATAAAACTGTGTAGAAAGAATTGAAGAGTATGAATATTTTTCTCTTTCCACAGGTATGCACTAAAGGAAAGTTTTACTATTATGTGGAAAGAATAGTTTCGATTATTATTTTAGGCTTTACACAAAAGCACTGCTGTTACAAACTGGGTAAGTTTACTGTCATCCTCCCATCCCTTTAGATGGGCTGAATCTTTCCTAGTCTTTCTCTCCCTCAAAAATCACTGCATCTCCTAAACTGCTGAGATCCCTTTCAAGGAGCATGACTCCAAGAGAGTGGAGAAAAGGTGGGAAGAAATAAAAAAAGCAGCTTTTCTGAGTCTCCACTGGGGTTTGACAAACTTCTGCAATGTGCTAGGAGAAAACAGCATTTCACAGGCGTGTCATTGCATCATTCACCTTGCTGTGGAGAGCAACACTGGTGACACTGACTCTTAATGCAAGCATCATACAAGGAATTACAAACCATCTCACTCGTACATGTCTGTCCTTGAGCAGTCCACATAAAATTACTCTCCTTATTTTCCACACCCTGACCTGGTTTCTCCAACTCAAAAGCAGGGAACATTTTCAAAACTGATCTACTTCCTTGAAGTCAACACTTGACGCAAACCATCTCTTGTGTGATTTCACACAAGAGATAACACATCTACTGTCATTCAAAGGCACACAATCTACTTCAAAGGCACCTGGCTCTACATGAAGAGAGCTCATCTCATCTACACAACTACTTTCTCAGGAAAAAGATTAATACTGAAGGTAAAAACTCAATTTGACATACCACAATTCATACCTGTAAGCACATGACATCCTCAGGACCACCTATTTTAGGTAGCATCCTGAAATCCTGCCCAGTAAAGAAAATTGATTATTTTGCTTCAAAGAAGGGAGATGGATGGGGTAGAGGTTTGTTTTGATTTTAAAATAAAGCATTTCCACTCATCTTTCCATGATACTCAACATATGCTGACTCAAACACATGACTAGGCTGCTGCATGCCTACCAACTTACAAGGAAAGTTGGCAGATTTAGAGCCTACATTACTAATGTAGGATGGCCAAAGTTTTCCTGCAATTTCTGTCTAGATTTGGACACCAAAGCTTGCTGATGTGCTCCAGAATGAGAGCATTCTAGTCAGGGGATATCCAGCCAAAGTGGGAGGCTAGAAGGCTGTTCATATCCTGACCTACATTTACTCAGCTGAAGAGCAGAATCACAGATTACCCTCTGTTCACACATAAAACATGCAAATTTAGGTATCCAAGTCCACAACTAAATTCTAGCCTAAAAGCTACCAAGATGCCACTGGCATTTCTTTGAGCCACATCGGCCCGAGCAGTAGAAAAAACTTGTATTTCAAGGTACAACTTACTCCTTCTGGCTTCTTGACAGCTGACTTACAATATGATTGAAAGCTTCCTAGTGGCTCCTATTCACTTTTCCCCTACTGCTTTTGGTAGCAATAGTAAGAGTCTGGATGTAAAAAAGTCTTAAAATCACTTGGAAAGACATTGAATCCCTAACAGCCTTCCTCCTTCTCTCCCCTCCTCTCACACACAATAAACCCTAAAGAAACACAGAATATTAATACATCTCACAGAATCACAGAATCGCTCGGTTGGAAAAGACCTCTGAGATCATCATGTCCAACAGTTCCTGTCTACCCAGTAAACCATATCCCCAAGTACCTTGTCTACCCGCTCCTTAAAATACATCCAGGGATGGTGACTCCACCACCTCCCTGGGCAGCCTGTTCCAGCCTCTGACAACCCTCTCAGTAAAGAACTTCCTCCTTATCTCTAACCTGAACCTCCCTTGGCACAGCTTGGTGCCATTTCTCCTTGTTCTATCCCCCATCACCTGGGAGAAGAGACCAGCACCCACCTCTCTACAACCTATTTCACAGTATTGTGACTCTGATTTCCTCTCGAGATTAAAGCAATTTTGTATTTAGATGCAAACACACTGTCAGAGTAAACTACGTATTTTAGACCCACATAGAACTGGTAGAATAATCAAATCGACTATCTGAAAGATTTAGAAGAAAAAAGAGAAATCTCTCAAATACATATGGATTCTACTTAAGAGTCACGGTACGCAGGATAACTTAATCCTCTCTCCCACATGAATAAACTAATGTATTACAAAGGATCACTTCAACATTGGCTTGTTTTGCTTGAATATACTGTACTTAACTGAAAATTGCGCTCTTCAAGAGAGACTGCTTGCCATAGTCTCCAAGTTCATAGGTAATATTGGCCACAGAAACTGGACATAAGATTTAGGGCCAATATGGTATCTTCATAAGTCAGCTTCTGAGAAGAAACGCTGTTCTACTTCAGATTGAAAAAGTTTTGATTGAAGACAAACTATTTGACTGATCAAAGGCAGTAATCTTAATTTTACAGCTGGTTTGGAAAAAAGGAAAGCTATTGACAGTTGACTGCAGAAGCATTTCCATCTGCAGTATTAAGCAATACTCTGAGAAACAGTAACTGCAGAGATGCACACACAAACTCAGAATCAACACTGACATCACGTAATTGCTTTTGCAGCAACTATGTCCTCAGTTAATCAGAGCTGAACGACATTCTCCCACATCTCCAAACAGCAGGGCTGCACCGCAATCAGACGTGCAACTGCAGACCACAGGCACCCAAGAAACTTACTGAGGAAGCAAGAGGAGCCATTGCTACAAGAATTTCAGGATAAGCTACTGCAGCTTTCCTGCAAACAAAAACTGCCTGGTGCATTTATTCCTGCAAGAGCCATTCCTCCCAACTCCCCTGCAGAGCATACAATGTAACTGCTCTGGTTTTGTCATACGTAGTTTCTAACAAGATTTCCATTTAACACCTCTAATCTGCAATGCAGAACTGCCTTCTGTCACACACTTCAAAGAAAGCCAACAAGACAGTATCAGTTACATTTGAAAATTCTATTTATTTGGGCATAAGGGACAGGCAAGCTGTTCAAATTAGCAACTCCTGAAGTGTAAACAAATATAAGAATAAATCTTATATATTCTTATGCTTACAGAAACTTTGTGGAACAGAGAGAATAGAGTTTCACATATTCTCTCATGAATTTTGTTCTAGGATTAGATCACTGTTTTTGCAGCGTGATGTCAAAATGCACAAAATACCCAACAAAAGAAAAAGCCTGAGTGATTTTCAGGTGGGTAATAGCTAACTGTGTGTGGAACTCTGGGCACTACCTCATCACAGAGAGGAAATACTGTCAACACATTCATGAAAGATGGAGATCTCCTTTGAGAATGAGATGACATGAAGATGCATGCCACTGAAAATCATTGGTTTTAACATCCCAGTGATTAAGTTACGAACCCAGGATCCTTCTGCAATCAGTGAAGAGAGATACAAGCCTTCAAATCAAAGGTTGATCCATGAGGCTGGTAGTGATTTCCCAAGGTGACCTGAATATAGTGATGCAAGGTGAGGTTCAATTACATACTTTGAGTCCCATTGTCACTTATCCTTTCTTTCTGAATGAAGATTGCTCCCTAGTATAGATGTCATCAAGCAAAGATCATGAAGTGCCAGGCACACACAAAGACTTTTCAAAGTGCTGTGCCAATTCACAGAACACCTTCTGATTTCATCTTCATCACCACACTGCAACTTTATCAGTCACTTATTCACTGAAGGCAGCTTAACTACAATACCTTAAAAGAACAGGGAACACAAACTGTTGGACAGGCTGGAGAAGTGGGCCTGTGTGAACCTCATGAACTTCAACAAGTCCAAGTGCAAGGTCCTGCACCTGGGTCAGGGCAAATCCCAGTATCAATACAGGCTGGGAGATAAAGGGATTGAGAGCAGCCCTGAGAAGGACCCACCGATAGTGGTGGATGAAAAGTTAAACATGAGCTGGCAATGTATGCTAGCAGCCCAGAAAGCCAACTGTATCCTGGGTTGCATCAAAAGGAGCGTGACCATCGGGTCAAGGGAAGCGATTCTGCCCCTCTACTCTGGCAAAACCTCACCTGGAGTACTGCATCCAGTTCTGGAGTCCTCAGCACAGGAAAGACATGGACCTGTTGGATCAGGTCCAAAGGAGGGCCACAGAATTGATCAGAGGGATGTAACACCTCTCCTGTGAGGACAGGCTGAGCATTAAGACTGTTCAGCCTGGAAAAGACTGCAAGGAGACCTTATTGCAGGCTCTCAGTAATTAAAGGGGGCCAATAAGAAAGATGGGAACAGACTTTTTAATAGGGCCTGTAGTGATAGGACAAAGTCACCTAAACTAAGAAGGTAAATTCAGACTAAACAAAGAAAAAATTTTCTACAGTGAGGGTGGTAAAACACTGGAACAGGTTGCCCAGAGAGAAAGTAGATGCTCCATCCCTGGAAACATTCACGGTCAGGTTGGACAGGGCTTTGAGCAATGTGACCGAGTTGAAGATGTCTCTGCAATTGCAGAGGAGCTGGACTAGATGACCTTTAAAGGTGCCTTCCAACTCAAACCATTCTATGAAACTCAGGTATTCATACACATTGATGCTTTAGAGTTGATCAGAGTTGAGATGAGGCTCAGCACTCAATGTTAAAAACAGTGATGTAGTTCAACTTAGGCCTCCAACTTACCACATTTTTAAAGTCATCCTCTGCTTCATCAAATTTTCCTTGCTTGAGCAGTAAGTGTCCTCTCTGCAATCTTGCCTGAAACAAAACAGAAGATAATTTCTTTTGATTTACAAATTGGAATTCAGCAAAGTACGAAAGTAAGCTTCAGCTTCCTTTAGCAGAAAAAAGTTTCATTTTACTACAGCTATCAAGCTGAAAGAGATGAAAACACTCATTCTTTGTCTTCTCAATTTGACAGCGTTCTTATGAGGCCTCTTTGACACTAGAGGATCACACTGCATCAGAACTGAGGGACAAAAAGGGCACCGTTTTTCTAAGCAGCTGCAACTCATGGAAAGAGCATTTAGGAGTTGCACATAAAGCGAATGTTTATCTTACACCACTTTGCTGATTGTAACTGCTTACAGATTTTAAGAAACTGGCAGAAATAATAAACAATTCCCACATTTAATTCTTTCACTAAACTTTCAGAATAATAGAAGCTACATTAAAAACAAGTTAATGATTTAGAAAATTGTGATTTATGGTAACACTACTTTAATAGACCAATTTAACATTTGCTTATTCACTGTAAGCTACACAGGACATGCCACTGCCCATGGAAAAAGCAGAGATGAGAACTGGATGGAGAGGACTCCAGCATCAGTCTCCAGCTAATGAGGCAGTAAGCAGAAGTGAGCAAGGGGTAAGTAAATCAGAACTTGCAACAATCCCATTGTTGCAGGGAGATTAGGACAGTTCCTGTGGAGAGGAGATGACTCAAATCTAATGCTGATTAAGACAGAAGAAAAACAGAGGCATCTGTGTGCTCTCTTCCCCTTCCTCCCCCCTCAGAGGGCATAGCCTTGGTGACTGAGAGGAGAATAACAAGTGAGAGAAGGTAGGTGTTTTAGCACAAAACCATGAGGAACATGAACTTAATAAAATTATTATTAGTTATTAGAATAACTGGCTGTACTCAGCATACTTATAAACTCAAGCACATACACCATTGCTATTATTTTATCCTATTTAAAACCTTCTGAGTTATAATGTATTTTCTATTTCTGTTTAGCAAAATCTGAAAAAATAACCTTCTTCGAAGCAGGGGTTTTTTTACGCTTGAACAATTTTCAATTCCAGTAATACTCACTGATGTGAAGTCCTGCTTTAATTCAACCACTTTACTTAAATCACGAATTGCTGCTTTAGATTTGCCCATGGCTAAGTACACTGTGGCTCTTCTGTAATAAGCAATGTAGTTATCAGAGTCTCCTTCTGCAAGTGAATGAACAGTAATCAGAATACTATCTCAAAGCAAATGAACCTTTGGGTACAGCAAAACTGTAATGACTAAAAATGTTACCTGAATTTTAAGTCACTAGGAAAAAAAAAGTATTTATCAATAAAATATAATATTGGTAACATTATCCAAGCAATATTTTCTATTCATTTGGTTATTTAACAATAAAGATTACAGAAACACCAAATATTTATGAGTACTGAAGGTGAAATAAGTACATGTTTTTCAGCTTTGTACAGGAAAACAGCCATCACGTACTAACACTATCTCCAACCACAGGCCTACATTTGAAAGCATGTTAATTCATCATTCCTATCCCAGTCCCTGTCTGTCACATACGATGCAAGTAAATAATCCCAAACTGACCAATACATTACTTCAATCTCATCACAGACGCATAAACCCTTTACATCATCCATTGAAATAGCAGCGACTTCTTTCTTCAATATTCCAATGGGCACCCACACCCGCTCCTCTCTACAGCGGACAAACACACATACATTCTCAAAACCTGAAGACTGACTTCAAGGCCAACACATTCCATGTTGTCGGCTGCTCAAACTTCCAAGATCCAGCAATTTTAACACTTTATAAAATAGTACATCTATGTATACCCTTACAGGGGACAAACATCAGTCTCTGAAACCAAGACTTTTCTTAATATTCATCTTTATGCAGTATTTCAAAGAAACTGATGACAGTTACTGCAGGCTTTCAAGGAAAGGTAACTTAGACCACCTAAACAACCATATGCAGTAAAAGACAGTAAACATTTTACTGTGATGTTAATTTTTTTTAATAATCCAAACAAATAATCAATCCAGAATTTGTACACAAGAATATCCACACCTGAGGAACAAAACAAGTATTTCTCTTCCTCACTTCATCTGAGGTTAAAGTTGAGGTTTGAAATAAATGGAACAAATAGCCTTGCCAAAAATCTTATGATCAGAAAGTGAGCTTCATAGCTAGCCAGCTCCACTACCAAAACACTAGTTCAGCTCTCACTCAAAAACATATCTGCACTTTTCTTCTGCAATGTCGTGGCTGTGGAAATGCTAATGTCCAGCACCAAAATCTAATAACTTCAATTATTAAATTTCCATGCTGTATGCCACTTTGTATGCCAGCATTATGAACATCAAGTAACTTCAAATGTTACTACCATTTAAAAAAATGGAATCAATTTGTTATTAAGTCCTACTGCATACAACTAAATGCCTACAGTAGACACACTTCAATAGCCAAAATTAAGGAATGTCATTAATACAAGGATGAAAGCTAACCCACAAAGCACATTCCAGCACCAGATTATGATCTTTCTGACAATCATAATATGGTTCTGACTCAGTTTCCCAGTAACAATAATGAACAGCAATTAACATTTACCCAGAGAGAAGGAGGTGTGCCTGCCCATGGCAGGGGGGTTGGACTGGATGATCTTTAAGGTCTCTTCCAACCCAAACCATTCTGTGATTCTATGATTCTATAACTTGATAAGATTGAAGGAAGAGTTGAAAATTTAACTGAAGAGACAGAAAATAGATAGTAGATTTCTTTTATTTTAGATGTTTGCAAAAGAAAAATAGGCTGCCAAGACAAAAAAAAAAATCTGTTTACCTCACAGTCTACAATAATGCAATACAGGCAAAAAAGTATTAGAGAAATCTCTTCTCCCCTCCTCTACATAGTAGGAAAATTGTGCTTTAAATCTTTTCAAAAAGGCAAAATACAAAGAAGAAAGAGAAGTTGATGAAATTTTAGGCAATCGGGCTCAAAGCAACGTCAAACCAAGAATCCCACCATGGTCACAACAGAGGTGATCACACTGCAGTTCTACCAGCTGCTTCAGCACTGCTGGCAAAAGAGGGTTTCACCCCATGCAGGCACCTCATTGCTCATCCCACTTCACACCACTGCTGCCTTTGTACCACCACGAACATTTGCATGGCCACAGACTGAAATGGATTTTTCACCAACTCCAAGTTAAAGCTTGCCAACCAAAAATAAAGGAATAAATCTCACTGTAACACTAGCTCTGCTCAGATGCCACAGAAATGCTTTGGCAGCGACACACACAAAGCAAAAGGAGTAACAGACCAACTCTTGGTGGAACAAGGAGCTTCCACAGCACGCATACAAGAAGTTTCACCCTCCACTCCCTTTATACAAAGGAAGTTGATCTTGGAGGCCTCACAGAAAGATATTAATATAATATTAATTGATTCTCATCATATTAATAGAATCAGCAGATATTTCTTTTACATAACACTATTAGACCAAGGCATAAATAGAAAACTCAATAGTATGATACAGCAAGGTGTTACACAGTAATGTTATTATGTAATGTGTTAACCACGCATAACTGTAGTGTTAATGGACACTGCTCTTTACTGGTGCTGTCTGTCTCTACACTTCAGTTCAAGGATTTCAAACAGCAGTTGCCTTAAAATTTACAGAAGCAAACATTTAAGTCCTCAGTCTGTTGAAAATGCAGAACACCAAAACAAGCACTCACTCACTAGATGAGTAAAAGAGGGACAGTTAATATAATCCTCATTACCACGTCAGTATCTTAAACTTGTTGCACCAGTTTCACTGAAGTATCACCCACTTCAAGATATAATTTTAAAAGAAAAAAAAGACTATTTTAAATGCTGATATTTTTATAGTGCTGGAGACAAGACAGCGTAGATAAACTCAATCTTTTAAAGACATGCTTTGAATAACTTCTTAAAGATAAAACCTAATCTTAAAACTAGATACAGGAAATACCTCATCAAAAGATACCACAGTCCATTACAATCACTTCCATAAAGCTAGCTTGCAGAAACAGCAGTGACTTAGTGTTCAGTTATCACATAGTTAATGTAACCATTTCTTTTATCAAAACCAAAGCATAAATATTCTACTGCATCCTGTTGGCTCCCATCCAAACTGCTGTATAAAAGTGGCCCAACTTCTGTCTCATGAAATGCAATTTTCATGAAATGGGACACTTAATGAAGTAAATAGTAGGAGAAAGAAAAATCCATCCCCACTCAAAGGTATTTCAGTGCAAGAGTCACTTCCCTGAGATACATACCTGTAGCTGCATGAAAGTGAGATAACGCATCTGCTAGCTGTCCAGCAGCCAATAACTTCTTCCCCATTTCAAGTTGCTTTTCTACTTCTGCATTTATTCCACATTCAGCTCCTTAAAGAAAAAGATCAAAATTTTGAATGACCAGTTTGGTTATACCAAATGCATACAGTGGTAATACAATACATAAAGTTATTGATATAGAAGCAGAAGTCACATCTTCCCTTACTAAAGCAATCTGCAGCATGTCTTTCCTGCCCCAGAAAGGATGTAAAATTAAATGCATAAGTATTGTAAAGCACTGCATTACGAGAAGGCACAAAATATGCATTTCTATTCCTGTTTATACATTCAGTAACATACTTATGCACATCAAACTTTATACATCAACTGTAACAACAGTTTGACAAAATACATTTCTATGTGGGCTTTCAATTTCAAAAGCAGTTGGAAAAGACACTCGTAATGCACACATAGCAAATATAAAAAAGCTTTAAATTAAATTTCATGACCTTACTGATAACTCAGGAGTCAAATGAAAACTGTTAGCTACTGCAGAGACTGGCTTCTCATTTACTGCACTTTTGTCTCATCTTTTATAATTTCCAAGGCAAACTGTTTCCAGGGCACAAGTTTTGATATAAAGAATTGAAATTCTCGCTCTCTTCATTTAACCAATAGTATGGAAATCACATTAAAGTGGTATGCTTTTGAAGTGCCAGTTTTAGTTTAAAGCTAATAAACTGCTGCTGCATAACCAACAGGGCAAGACTATTGTTGAGAAGAAATGAGTAGCTGAGTGCAAGTACATGCTGTACATACATCAATTCAGCCGCAGAGGCTTTTCGTTTGTACCGCTTCCAGCATTCTTCAAATCAGGACAGAATTTCACTACAACTTGACAGTTTATGACTATTAAAACTTTCACACTATAAACAGTTTTCTTTTACCAAGAGCATACCCTATGCATAAATGTAAGCAAGGTAATGTATTAAAATCCTGAATAAACACATTACAGTAGGAAACAACTACAATTACTAGGAATAAATTTCTTTCACTGATGTTTTGTATTGGCTAATTCAGATAGGCACCTGAATTAAATCTTAAATATGAAAATGCAGCAGTGCTTCGAAGTAGTTCCTTCGAGTCTGAATAAAGATGTTACACTACACAGACTGAAGTATATCAAAACTTCTAACACTGAAAGGTGATTAAACAACAAAGTATTCATAATGAAAGAACAATTTCTGATCACCAAGACATCAATGAGGAGCTCTCAGTACCTGGGATCTTAATTTAATTTTCCCTTCCTACTCATTAACACAGTTCATAACTCTTGTTTCCACATTATAAGAAAATCATTGAGCTGTCTATACTAAAATGAACAAAATGCCCTCTGTAGCCACTAAAAAAAACTATCCGCTAAAAGACTGATGGTAATTCAGCCAACTGGATTCAAGGGCTTCAATTCAATTTTTTCCTTTAGAACAAGGAGAACAAACAAATCCTTTTTTAATTAATGGAAATGACTTTATAAAATAAGCCTCAAATTTCCAGCCAGTAATTCTTTGTTTAAATAGATAAAGTTAAAATAGTAATTACTTCTCATACAGTCAATTTGGGGATCTTATTAAATGATGCATTTTAAAATCCATTCTAGGTATGCGTGGCTCTGAATAAAATATGAATAGCTCCAATGAGAACGGAGAAATATTTCTGGGCAGTAATTTTTTCACACACAGTATTCTACTTCAAGGCAGCTTTTATGTGAATGTCCAATTGTTTGAGAAATTGACATTCTTCTTTGCCATTTTGCTTCTTCTCTAGCTTAAAACTTTGATTACCGAGTAGTCCAATGTCCTCTAAAATGGTAAAGCAAGCACTGCAGAGGAAAAAAAAAAACTTATCAAACCAAACCTAAAAAAAACCCCCACAAACCAAAAGCCCACAAGTTTCTCTGGCTTTGGAAGTACGCTACCAACAAATCAGATACCAAATGATAAACAGACTGAAGTATTTAACATGAACTAAAACAAACAAGCAAAAAATTCTTAAGCTTCATCCCACCCATCTCTCTCCACAGATGAATATCTGAAATCTTTCAAAACTTGTCAGTTTGAAGTAGTAGCCTAGAACTGGGCTGTAAATTGCTCTCTGATGAATCTTTCATCCACTGAAACGTGGCACTCAATTTTCAGTCTCAGGTACCTGAAGAAGTGTCCTTGTTTCACATTTAGTCACATCAGGATAGCTCCAAGAATAGGTACTCCAAAATTAAGACGCACCTATAGCATTCAGTGTCTTTCATACACACTATGTTCCGTACAGTTTTACAGTTACATAATACTTCAGGAGAGACATCTCTTTCATTGAAAATACTGAATATAATAAATAAAGAAAATGAGAAAGCTGAGTATAGTATGTGTATATAAATACATACACACACACATATACTATAGTATATATACCATTTATAGTAAACAGGTAAGTAAGGTAAGCAGGAACAATGTGCACAGAGAAGTAAGGCCTGTAAAGGACTGTAGGTTCCCTACAGAACAAGACTAATTATACTAGACATATTAAAACTTGGCTCTGCAAGTTGCTGAACATCGTAAACTGATGTGGGAATCCCCAGCAGGAGCCTATATAGCCAGTGTAACCATGCTGAAAAGTGACATTTACCTCAACTACTCAGGAACACTGTATACTGACCTGATAGTTGGGTTCTTTACTCAAATAAATATATTGCTTATTTATTTCCTGGCTGTAAGCAAACAATTGCACTAAATAAACCATCTCGATATCCTCTACCACAGCAGACATCCAAAACCTGTTAACATAGGCACAGCAGTCCAAGGGCTCAAACTCTGTGCAACCTTTGTGGGTACCGATTCACTCTTTGGTCTGGGAATGAGCAAAAGGACTCAAGTTCAACCAGAGTTAAAAAACAGACCAACTCTACGGAGCTCTTTCCAACAGGCACACAGTCATTGGTGAGCTGGTCATCAAGAGCCCAGCACTGCAGCTGAAGAAGCTTCATATGCTCTAGCAAGAAACTCAATTTATGCAAGAGATATGCAAGTTTTATTTTTAAAACTTTCACGTACTTGAATTTGAATATTACTTCTAAAGCCTGCCTAATTTTTATGTATTCACCAAGGACCTCAGATGATGACACACAGAAGCCCCAGATGTCAAATCAAGTCAGATATTCTGGACAAATTCAGAGTCTGTAGTCCTGAAACGGATGCTAGAGTGCAAGAGTGAAAAAAAAAAGCCAAGAACCAAACCACCACAAAAACAAACAATAAAACAAAAGTCACCAAACTACTCTCAGTACCAGGTAAGAATCGGTTCCAGCCCCGAGAACTCAAAGGAAGCCAGTCAGAAAGCACAGGAAAGATAAGCAGGTGCAGCTAACCTGTTCTTCCAGTTAAATACCGTCACTTCAAATAAATTAACTTTCTGGTAGGTTTTTGTTTTATTAGAATACCTGGTGCTAATATGTGGGTACCTAACTATACAAACTTCAATTGTATCCTCATATAATCAGTCACATCCACAGTGTAAAAAGCTTAAAGCCCTCCAAATTGAAAACAGTTTCAAGATTTTTACAGTTGTCTACATACTCCTCTTTTCCCTATGTAGAATTTTAACCTATTTTTTTTAATCTTATTCACAAGCTGGATAACAGGACTATGAAAATAAACATAATTAGTTCTGACTGTGTACCAGAAGCAGAACTGTTTCAAAGACAAAGAAGAAATACACGTCACTAGTCTTAATTACAATGATCTAAACTCCCACCCCCACATAAAAAAGCTTGAAGATTGCCTTGTCATGCAAGTGGGAGATCCTGCTTTTGGGGCATTTTTTCATCAGAATGACCCTGTGTTTAGGGGTCTTAAGTTTACTGTTATTTTTAAACAGGTTTGGGCTTTGCTTTTGTGTGTGTTTGCAACCGTGTTTTTCAAGGACAAGACTGATCAAAGAAGTGGATGAGCAACCACAGTTCCAGGAGCAATCCAAAAAGGCTCACAAGAAGCCATGGGTAACTTCCATCCATCAAGTCTTTACTCCCTCCATTTGCAAAGAAAGTTGGTAAATATAGCTAAGACTGGCAAACCAAAAAGCCAAACCCCCCACCACCCCAAGTATCCTTTATATTTGGAGCAAGCAAAAAAACCTCCCAAACTCAGGACAGAAACAATGGGGTGGGGGGTGGGGATGAGAGCAACACTTAAGGCTAGTGGTCTGACAATAAACTGAGCTCTGTTTACCTAAACCCCATTTCTTCTTCCCCTTATTAAGTCTCCTTTCTTTCACTGCTAGGAAGGAGAAGGGGAAGAGCTACAACACTCCTCTAACCTCAGCCACCTCTTTTTGTTGCAGTTAGTGTGGATGAACAGCCATGAAGGATGAATCCTCCCAAGAGGTGATTTGTGTCAAATGGGAGCTTGTTCAGCATAAGTTTGGGTATTTGGAGAAATTCAGGAAATAGATCTGTGAGGGCTGAACTGCAACCTGTCACATTACCAAGTATTCAGAAACGTTTTTAGTGAACTAATTTACCAGCCAGAGATGAATGACAATTCATAGTTATCGACTATAATATGCAAAGTTAACACAGGCCGGCTGTTCCACTGATTCAAGAATCAGACGGCACAAGGCAAACTTTTATTATCAAGGCAGCAAGATACAGATGTGAATATGGACACCTCTGAGTTCAAAGACCAGTAATACTGTAGAGGGGAAAAAAAATCCAGACACTTAAACAACGTAACACCCCTAAATTCCCTAACTACATGCTACAGAAAATGAACTCATGAACTAAGAGCTTAGTAAATTCAGTAAATAAAATCCAGAACCACCACTTTTCATTCTATTACTGTACTGTAAATCTTCATTAACAAGTCCATATAGACATTAAATCAAATACTTTAAATAGGTCAGCAACTTAAAAAAAATCCTCAGCAGGAGCATCAGTGTCACAGTCTTAGGGGAGGGAAAAACGTATACTTTGACCACAATTAGTATTTTTCCTCTAACCCTACCAGGATACACATCCAAAAAAGCAATCCAACACCACAGTATGTAGTCTTATACCACAGAGCATCTTTGCCACAGTACATTCCTGTTGCATTCATTAGTTTAGTACAGCAATTGAATTTCTTATGTCAAATCAAGTTCAGTCTTAAATCTACAGACTTATTCTGACAACTGACAGCTTCAAGTCTGCCACTGCCAATTAAAGGACATTCCTCAGCTGAAGCTCCAACCATGTGTGCAAACGTATACTTTAGTTACATATTTAACAAGAGCCTGTGAATAAAAGTTTAACCATACAGGTGTTGCTAACAGCATACTCTGAAAGTAAACAGGAAGCACAGAGTGCTGATAAACTTTTCTCAACTTCAGATACTAATACAAAACACAACAAAAAACCAAGAGTGTAAACAAATGCAACACAACTGTCCAAAGCCTCAAATTCGTAGGTCCAGCACTAATACTGGCTATGGCCAAGAGGAACTGAAAAAACCTCTGAACTTGGGAACTGCTCAAAATTCACACAGAAGTGAGAAATTCAAGGCCAGTACAGATCTGGCCAATGCTGCCACACAGCTGCACTCGAGGACACCACGACACTTTCGAGGCCTCACAGTTGCTGGCACTCCACCAGCAGGCTGAGGAAACCCAAGCACGCATCAAGCCACCTTAAACTGCACCACCAGGGACTGGGATCAAACCAAACGGGTTCCAAGCAGTGACGGTGCCCTCATTACACACCCTTCGCACCGGCCTTGATGAGGTGGCAGTTCCATACCTCCTTCTTCCTCACACCCTAACACAAATACTGCCCCTCCGCCTCCCGGACGTCCCGGGGGGGACTGCCCCGCCCCCAGGCCCTCCCCACTGGCCCGGCCAGCTCCAGGCCCACC